TTCAATAGTCAAGGAATAGGAATTGGGCACCTGAAGACTGAATGATAAAAGAAAACAAACATTCCCTTAGCTTCTAGCATTTTCCATTTGGAATTTCCAAATTTACAGCCAATTCTCCATTATCTACGCTAAGTAACTAGAGCAGTAATGTGGAAAATCCTGCAAAGTGCAGCAACAATATTCTCCAGTTTGCAAAGAATAGCTTTAAAATAGATGTAAAGAAGAGAGAGGCAGGCAGCCCAGAAGGATACACATGTAAAAGCAAGTCTACCAGAGACTAAAATTCTTAAGATTAAGTCACAGATGTATAAATAAAATTTATCACACTCCAACACTGAATCCATTCTATGAAATTTCAAAGGCATCTTCCAAGTAGCTTCTACTATTTTATTAATTCAAGGCATATCTTATTATAGACCTGGTATTAAAAAGACCAAAAGACAATATTTTTATCTAGGTCTCTCCCTTCAAACAGATAAGATATTGTTGGCCCTGTTTTATAGACCAGGCAATCAAGGCCCTGAGAGGTTAAAAATCCCCATATCTATAAAATGAAGTAAATAAAACCAGAGGTACAGCAGGATTCTAACAGCAGAGAGAGCAAGTTGGGGATTGGGCCAGACCAAGGTAGGGACTGGGCAGGGCCTGCATCTTTGGTTGGAAGGGACTGCATTAAAAAGGGACAACTCTTTGATCACTTTCCCTAAGAGTTTCCCAGTCTTGCTTTATCACTACTGCTTCTAGTGTCTTGTTTTGAAAGTCCTCCCAAGCACATGTGGAGAAAATGACCAGAAAAGATAACTAACCCTTAGCTATGCTCTGAATGATACTCAGTCCAGAGTCTTGCAGAGGCTAAAATATGGTACCTTAAGGAAAAGCACCTGGCACAAAGGAAGGGCTTGGTAAATATCAGTTCCCACCTTCAGCCTTCCTGTCTACAGCCTGGTGTCTGCCCTGAAGAAAAAGAGGGTCAGGTTTCCAATGATCCCACTTACTGATAGCTAATGTCACAGAAGTTCCTATCGTTGATGTGAAAGGACTGTATATCTCGGACGCGAATCTGGCAGTCCACAGACACATTGCAGCTTGTCTCAGCGGTGTGGATGATAATGACATACTTGACTGGGAGGTTCATTTTAGGGCATAGTGTCTCTCTGGCTCCCCAAGCAGACCGTGTGACGATGTTGGGGCAAGCTATGGTAAAGTGAAAAGTGAAGAAAATGAGAATTTTATAACAATGACCAAAAAAAAGAGTAGCTACTGAGACTACTTATGTACAACCAAAACCGTCATGGGATTTGGTTTCCCAGTGTGGAGATTCAGGTTCATGGTTTCATGGGACTTCCCAGTTAATTAGCCTAATAATATGTTTGGTGCTTCTGTTCTACCTCCTATTTCGTTGCGTAGTGCCTGGGGTCTTAAAAGCTTGTAAGCAGCCATCCAAAGCATGACAATTGGTCTCTATTCACTGGAGCAACAGAAGAAGAAGGAAAGTCTAGAATACGAGGAGGATACGGAATGTGTGGCTAATTGCCTCCATGAACAACTGCCTCCTCTGCCATAAGCAGAACTGGATGGCGCCCAGCTACCCTTACCAAACGTTTTGATCAAAGATTCTATAGAAGAATCCTGATCAAAAGGGGGCAAATGTGGAACAGAATTTCAAATTCTCATGGACTCCAGACTTTCTGGTGCCAAGAGGGCTGGATAAACCCCTGAAACTATTGCCCTGAGATAATCTTTAAGCCTTAAACCAAAAATATCCCCTAAAGTCTTCTTAAAGTCAAACAATAGTTTAGCTAAACTGGTAAAAAATGTCTGCTGTGAGCATTAGGCTCTTTTAAGCACTATCTATATGGAATCAAAGTGACAACAGCAGCTTGAAAGATTAGATAGGAACCTTAGGGGGCAGTGAGTTTATGTTAATGGTGAAAGAACAACTCTGTAAAGGAGGGTGAGAATGGTTGCACAACTTGAAGAATATTATCAATGTCACTGAATTGCACATGTAGAAACTGTTGAATTGGTGTGTTTTTGCTGTGTATAGTCTCAACAAAACAAGTTAAAAAAAAAGAAGAAAACAGGAAATTGACTTTGCCTACAAGTGGACAATCTCACTACTGCGGGCTGGGTTACTCCTCAGTCTCTCCCCAACTCTGGCACCCACTGGTATATCCCAACATGAGCTGTGGGATTCTAGCAAAGTCCAGATGGGGAGTGTCTCAGTCAGGTGACTGAGCAATGGACAGGGTCAAAACTCTACAGGTTCTGACAACAACTATAGAAAGCATTGTGTGAGCGGAAGGGAAGGGACTGTTGGTTATTCAGAGGCATGCTCATTTTACTCAAAGGACAAAGCATATCTACATGTTTGAATATTCAATGCAAATATATGCAGGTGCATGTACTCGTGTAACAGGATGGATATGCAGAAATCAGCTGACTCTCTGGTCTGATGACATGTATGTGAAAGTAATTTGAAATCCATAAATAATTCTTCAAATGTTAAGAAATTATCGTTATTGAAGACAGTATCCATGTGAAAGCAAGAAAAACTTCACTTCAAGATTTATCATTTTTATGAAGCTACTTTAAAAGAAAGGACCAAATTGGATGTCAAAAGAGACTCTGAAACTTGCTGTTGAACGTGGAGTAGCTAAAGCGAAAGGAAGAAGTGATTGAGTAAAGAGCTGAACGGAAGATTTCAAAGGGCAGCTCGAGAAGACAAAGTAAAGTATTATAATGACACGTGCAAAGACCTGGAGTTAGAAAACCAAAAGGGAAGAACACACTTGGTATTTCTCAAGCTGAAAGAATTGAAGAAAAAATTCAAGCCTCGTGTTGCAATAGTGAAGGATTTTATGGGCAAAATACTGACCAACACAGGAAGCATCAAAAGAAGATAGAAGGAATACACAGAGTCACTATACCAAAAAGAATTGGTCAAAGTTCAACCATTTCAGGAGGCAGCATATGATCAGGAACCAATGGTTCTGAAGGAAGAAGTCCAAGCTGCACTGAGGGCATTGGTGAGAAACAAGGCTCCAAGGATTGACGGAATATCAACTGAGATGTTTCAACAAACGGATGCAGCACTGGAAATGCTCACTCATTTATGCCAAAAATTTGGAGGACAGCTACCTGGCCAATCGATTGGAAGAGATCCATATTTATGCTTATTCCCAAGAAAAGCGATCCAACCAAATACAGAAATTATCTAATATCATTAGCATGACACATAAGTAAAATCTTGCTAAAGATCATTCAAAAGCGGCTGCAGCAGTATATCGACCGGGAACTGCCGGAAATTCAAGCTGATTCAGAAGAGGACGAGGAACCAGGGATATCATAGCTGATGTCAGAAGGATCCTGTCTGAAAGCACAGAATACCAAAAAGATGTTTACTTATGTTTTATTGACTGTGCAAAGGCATTCGACTGTGTGGATCATAACAAATTATGGATAACATTGGGAAGAATGAGAATTCCAGAACACCTAATTGTGCTAATGAGGAACGTGTACATAGATCAAGAGGCAGTCATTCAAACAGAACAAGGGGATACTGCATGGTTTAAAGTCAGGAAAGGTGTGTGTCAGGGTTTTATCCTTTCACCATACTTATTCAATCTGTATGCTGACCAAATAATCCGAGAATCTGGACTGTATGAAGACGAATAGGGTGTTTGGACTGGAGGTAGACTCATTAACAACTTGGGTTATGCAGATAGCACAACCTTGCTTGTTGAAAGTGGACTTGAAGCACTTAGTGATGAAGATCAAAGACCACAGCCTTCAGATGGATTACACATCAACATAAAGAAAACAAAAATCCTCACAACTGCACCAATGAGCAACATCATGATAAACGGAGAAAAAATCGAAGTTGTCAAGGATTTCATTTTACTTGGATCCACAATAAACACCCATGGAAGCAGCAGTCGAGAAATCAAATTTGCATTAGGTAAATCTGCTGCAAAAGACCTTTTTAAAGTGTTGAAAAGCAAAGATGTCACCTTGAAGACTAAGGTGCACCTGACCAAAACCACGATGTTTTCAATCACTTCACATGCATGCGAAACCTGGATGATGTATAAGGAACACTGAAGAATTGACGCCTTTGAATTACAGTGTTGGTGAAGAATACTGCATATACCATAGACTGCTAAAAGAAAGAACAAATCTGTCTCAGAAGAAGTACAACCAGAATGCTTCTTAGAAGCAAAGATGGCGACACTACGTCTCATATACTTTGTACATGTTGTCAGGAAGGATCAGTCCCTGGAGAAGGACATCATGCTTGGTAAAGTAGAGAGTCAACGAAATAGAGGAAGACCCTCAATAAGATGGAATGACACAGTGGCTGCAACAATGGGCTCAAGCATAACAAAGATGGTGAGCATGGCACAGGACCGGACAGTGTTTCTTTCTGTTGTACATAGAGTCTCTATGAGTTGGAACCGACTCAATGGCACCTAACAACAACAACTTTAAAATTGTATCACTGACTGCAGGAAAAGGCTCACTCTAGTACAGAGAGTTAAGTCATTGGAAGTGTTTATTGATTTTACTGGTTTTAAATTTCTGCTTGTTCACTCCAAAATAGTACATAATTTTTATTTCCCAGCTTCTTGGAATATTCACTCTGACATCAATGTAGTATGTGAACTCTAGTTTTTCTTAGCACTGTGGTCATGTTGCAGGCTGGCTGGTTTTTGCATTTAGAAAGGGATGTGTGTGTGTGTGTGTGTGTGTGAGTATGTAAATATGTGTCTGTATTCACTCACATATTATACATAAGTCTGTATATATGTGTATCCTTCCCCATTTTTGTGATTTATTTTTCTCCATAGCTTTTATGTGATCTGACATCATATATATTTTACTTGCTGATTTGTTCATTTCCTGTCTCTTCACTGAAATGTAAGCTTCATGAAGGTAGAGAATTTGTGTATTTTTTTCACAGCTGTATCCCCAGTACCTAGAAGAGTGTCTGGTATTCAGTAAATATTTATTGACTGAATGAAAATGTATGTACATACATATTTATGTTAAGAATAATCCCATGGCTGTATTATTCTAGCGGGATTGGGAATAGGCCAGGAAGCTAGCCCCTCAGATTTTTCCAGATCTCAAAGTTATGATAGACATGAGACGTGTTCTCAGTCCAAGAAGCCAATGGGAGAGAGCCCTCTCAAATGTGGCTGGGGTTGTAACAGGGAGGAGGGTGAGGTGGGATGGAGGCTTTTACCTTTCCTAGACCTCACTGGCTGTTGAGGGACCAGGCAGGTCTCACTTTGCAGGATAAGTGGCCGAATGTACCTGGATGACAGGTAGCCCTTCTGGATGGCATAGGAGATGAGGCCCCCTGCGGCTGATAAAGCAGCAGGGCTGGGACTGCTACCTGAAAGAGGATGACATGGAACTCAGAACTCTTAGTAAGAAACTCCAGGCTGCTCTAGACACAGACTGGGAGGTAGGATAAGATGACCATTTGACCCTTAATAAGTGATGGATGTGAAGAGAGGAAACTGGCTCAACAGCTAGGACAGGGGCCTAAGAGGCAAAGAACTACTTGGATAGAGCTCTTAACAGCCAAGGTTGGAGATCTCTTCCAAGTGCCACTCTAAGGCTTTGTTTATCCACTTCATCTCTAGGTGGAAGGACTGGGAAGCAATAAAAGTTACATGCAGAGGGAGGCTCACCTGACCAAGTCAGGTAGACCCATTAGCTTTTACTAAGAAGTTCTCATAATCAGGTATGCGGCTCGTTCTTTATACCTATCAACTCATTTAATTCTCACAGAAAACCTCTGTGGTAAATGCTATTACCAGCGCCAATTGGCAAATGAGGATACCGACTGTGCCCGTTATTTATCTATTACCTCTCAACTCCATTCCTGCTTCTATGCTCTCCTCTGTTTTGCAGGGTGCTAGAAGCCTGCAAACTACATTTCTCAGGCTCACTTGGCCTCTTGGCTTCTGGTTGGGTTCAGTCAATGGGAGGAAGAAAGAAGTCATGCTTTTCTGCTTCTGGCAGCTGCAGCAACAGCATCAGAAAACTGCAGACTCCAGAAGTGATGGCAATAACTGTGGGCTCAAGCAGTGTCAGGGGTGGTTTCAGCAACATCACAGGAGTGCAGACCAGAGAGGAGAAAAAGGATAAAAAGAATGGCATGTCACAGAAATCAAGGAAGATCATCAGAGAAGACGAGTGTGATACAGGCTTAAAAGACAAGAGTGTTGAGATGACAGAGCAGAGGAAGAGACTGTAGACAAGTCTCTGGCAAAGGGTCGGCAGGGGATGACCATTACCCATCTTACTGCCAAAAAAGGCGATGCCCAGAGAGACATTGTTGTATCCTTGGGTGTGCGAGCCTTGGATGTTCCAGCCGACGCCTTCATACACCCTGCCTTCATCCCCAACCAGGAAGCTGCAAGAAATAAAATATGGGCTTAATGGCTAATTCTTGTCACTGAAAACATCTCACAATCCTCAAAAAGGAAAAGGGTCCTGGAGGGTTTTAAATAAGTACTATGCTTCAATAACACTATAGTGAGAGAAAAAATACCCAATTTTAGATCTCCGAGAGATGTAGGTTTCTGTTAGCTGTCATTGAGTTAGCCTCAGACTCGTGGTGACCCCATGCACAACACTGCCCGGTGCTGCACCATTCTCAGAATGGGTGATGGATTGTACCATTGTGATTCATAGGGTTCTCATGGGCTGAAGTAGATCACCAGGCCTTTCTTGCTAGTCTGTCTTAGTCTGGGGAAGTTCCACTGAAACCTGTTCAGTATCACAGCGACATGCAAGCCACAGCTGACAGGCGGGTGGTGGCTGTGCATGAGGTGCATTGGCTGAGAATCAAACCTGGGTCTTGCCCATGATAGACAAGAATTCTACCACGGAACCACCACTGCCTTCAAGAGACGTAGGATTTAAACTTTGCTGCAACTTTGCTTAGATGTGTTTTCAGCATCTCAGTTTAAAAATATTCATTGGATTCAAAGTAGAATTCTAATGTGTGACTCTCAAGGACCCAAGAACATTAGTTCAACATTTTTCAAGGGCTTTAAAATTAATTCATCATGTTTTTCACTTATAGGACCAAGCACTGAACATGCTTTAAAATGATCAACCAGAATTCCGAAATTCCTTTTGTAGTGACTTTTCTTCACTTCTTAGGAATTCTCTTAACTCTTCTTTATTGTAGGAATTTGTTTAGGATCTTCCTTTTCTTCAGTTAATCTTTCTATTCAAATTTATCTGTTCTTTTACTCTATCTCCTCCTTTATTTATGCCTCCTTATAACTGTCTCATCTCCACCTTCCAATCACAGTCTTCAGAACTGATGTTTTCACAACTCTTGCCGTATTCAGCTCTTAACAGATGGTGAGTGTCCACAGCAAATTAAAAACAGAGTGACATTTTGCTAAGGTCACGCCAAGACCCTGAGATGAGTGAGGCCGACCCTTCCCTGACACGGGCCTGAGCAGCCCACAGGGGAGCTTCAGCATGTCCACCACCTCCCGGGCTCTGCTGCCGGCCCTCTCAGCAGGTTCCTCTGTCACATTTATTGTGGCCTTTGGTTGGTCCAGTGTGAAGAGATGCTTATGGCTACAGCCAGCCATACTGTAATAACTGGAGATCGTTGAACTATCACTGCAGAAACCTTACATGAGACGCCTGGCTGAAATTACTTAGAAATACTGTGGCTGAAGTAAGCAACACAGTAGTGACCAGAGTGGGTGGGTGGAGGTACTGGTGGGGCAGGGACAGCAGCTGAGGCAGTTAACACCCAGAGGATGGACCAGGAAGATACACACACAAGTGCACACATCCAGGAGCACTGACGGTTCCAATGAGGAGCTCTAGCTGCTCTTATTTATTTGTGTTTAAAAATAAACAAATTTTTTAAAAAGACACAGATTATCCTCTCTAAAATGAATAATTTAGAAATCATTTATATTTGTCTTTAGAATTCAGGAGGGAAAAGCCCTATTCTTTCTCTGTCTCTCTCTCTCTCTCTCTCTATATATATATATATGTATATATATA